GTGTGTGTGTGTGTGTGTGTGTGTGTGTGTGTTGTGTGTGTGTGTGTGTGTGTGGTGTGTGGTGTGGTTGTGTGGTGGGTGGGTGGGTGTGTGTGTGGGGTGGTGTTGTGGTGGTTGTGTGTGTTGTGTGTGTGGGTGTGTGTGTGTGGTGGGTGTGGGTGGGGGGGTGTGTGGTGGGTGTGTGGGGTGGGTGGTTGTGTGTTGTGTGGGGGGGGTGTGTGGGTGTTGTGTGTGTGTGTTGTGTGTATGTGGGTGGTGTGTTGGTGTGTGTGTGTGTGTGTGGTGTGTGTGTGGGTGGTGGTGGTTGTTGTTGGGTGGTGTGTTGGGTGTTGTGGGTGGTGTGTGTAATGTTGTGTGTGTGGGTTGGTGTGTGTGTGTGTGTGGGTGTGTGGGTGTTGTTGTGTGTGGGTGGTGGTGGTGGTGTGTGTGTGGGTGGTGTTGTGTGTGTGTGTGGGGGTGTGTGTGTGTGGGTGTGGGTGGTGTGTGTGTAGTGTGTGGTGGGTGGTGGTGTGTGTGTTGTGGTGTGTATGTGTGTGGTGGTGTGTGTGTGTGGTGTTGTGTGTGGCGGGTGTTGTGTGTGTGTGTGTGTGTGTGTGTGTGTGTGTGTGTGTGTGTGTGTGTGTATGTGTGTGTGGTGTGTTTGTGTGTGTGTGGTGTGTGGTGTGTGTGTGTGGTGTGTGTGGTGTGGTATGTGTGTGGTGTTTGTGGTGTGTATGTGTGTGGCGTGGGTGGGTGTGTATGTGTGTGGTGGGCTGGTGTGTATGTGGTGGTGGGTGGGTGGTGTGTATGTGTGTGGGTGGGTGGTGTGTGTGTTTGGTGTGTGGTGGTGGGTGTGTGTGTGTGTGGTGTGTGTGTGTGTGGGTGTGGTGTGTGGTGTGTGTGTGTGTGTTGTGGTGTGTGGTGTGGTGTGTGTGTGTGTGGGTGGTGTGGTGTGTGTGTTGGGTGGTTGTGTGTGTGTGTGTGTGGGCGGTGTGTGTGTGGTGTGGTGTGGGTGGTGTGGTGTTGTGTGTGTGGTGTGGTTGGTGTGTGTGTGTGTGTGTGTGGTGGTGTGTGTGTGTGTGTGTGTGGGTGGTGTGTGTGTGTGGGTGGTGTGTGTGTGTGGGTGGGTGTGTGTGGGTGTGTGGGTGTGGTGTGTGTGGTGTGTGTGGGTGTGTTGTGTTTGGTGGGTGTGGGTGGTGTGTTGTTGTGTGTGGGTGTGGGTGGTTGTGTGTGTGTGGTGTGGTGGTGTGTGGTGTGTGTGTGTGTGTGTGTGTGTGTGTGTGTATATGTGTTGTTGTGGTGTGTGTGCGTGTGTGGTGTGGTGTGTGTGTGTGGTGTGTGTGGTGTGTATGTAGTGTGTGTGTGTGTTTGTGTGTGTGGTGTGTGTGTTGTGTGGTGTGTGTGTGGTGTGTGTGTGTTATGTGGTGGTGTGTGTGGTGTGATGTGTGTGGGTGGTGGTGTGTATGTGTGGGGGGGTGGTGTGTATTTGTGGGGTTGGGTGGTGTGTAATATGTGTGTGGGTGGGTGTGTGTGTGTTTGTTGGGTAGGTGTGGTGTGTGTGTTTTGTGTGTGGGTGTGTGGTGTGTGTGTTGTGTTGTGGGTGTGTGTGTGTGTGGTGGTGTGTGTGTGTGTGTGTGGGTGGTGTGTGTGGTGTTGTGTGGTGTTGTGTGTGTGGTGAGTGGTGTGGGTGGTGTGTTGTTGTGTGTGTGTTTGTCGGTAAGGAGGTGAATTGCCGCATGGACGCCCTTAACTTCCAAGAAACTGGCGCGCTGTTTGTGTAACTCGTTAGGTGAAAGTGTACATTGTGTTGGTTCCTTTGTGATGGTTCGTAGTGTTGTGGTTGCTGGCGGTGGGTGTGTGCTCTGTTGAGATGTGTGATGTTGTGGGGTTGGTGTTTGTGTTGTGGTGTTGCATGGTGGCCGATGTTTGTGTGTTGTTGTTGTTTTTTGGGTGGTTTTGTGTGTGTGTTTTGTGTTTTTGTGTGTGTGGTGTTGTTGTGTGTTTGTTGTTGTTTGGGGTTGTGTGGGTGGGGGTGTGGTGTTGCCTGTGTGATGATATAGTTGGTGTTTGGAAATGTAAGGTCGTGATGGTAAGAGAGGTGGAAAATAGTCAGATTGAGTATGAGTATGATAAAGAGAAGTGATGAAATAAGGTTTGGTAGGAGTGTGGGGTGTGGGTGTGTGTGTGGGTGTGTTGTTGTGGGTGTGGTGGTTTTGTGTGTCGTGTGTATGGTTGTGTATGTGGTTATGTGTGTGGTGTGTATGGTGTTATGTGTGGTGTTTTGTGTGTGGTTGGTGTGTGTGGGTGTTGTGTTGTGGTGTGTGTGTGTGTGTGTGTGGTGTGTGTGTGTGGGTGTGTGTTGTGTGGTGTGTGGGTTTGGTGGTGTGTGGTGTGTGTGGGTGGTTGTTGTGTGTGTGTGGGGGTGTGTGTGTGTGTGTGGTGTATGTGGGGTGGTGTGGTGGTGTGGTGTGTGTTGTGTGTTTGGTTGGGGTGTGTGTGTGTGTGGGGGTGTGTGTGTTGGGGGGTGGTGTTGGTTGTGTGTGTTGGTGTGTGTGTGTTGTGTGTGGTGGTGTGTGTGTGGGTGGTGGTGTGTGTGTTGGGTTGGTGTGTGTGTGTGTGTGTGGGGTGGTGTGTGTGGTGTGTGTGTGGTGGTGGTTTGTGTGTGTGTGTGTGTGGGTGTGTTGTGTGTGGTGGTGTGTGTGTGGTGGTGTGTGTGGTGTGTGGTGTGGTGTGGTGGTGGTGTGTGTGTGTGTGGTGTGTGTGTGTGTGTGTGTGTGTGTGTGTGTGTGTGTTGGTTTTTGTGTGTGTGGTGTGTGTGGTGTGGTGTGTGGTGTGGTGTGTGGTGTGTATGTGTGTGGTGGTGTGTGGTGGTGTATGTTGGTGTGGTGTGTGTGTTGTGTGTGTGTGGGGGGGGGGGGGGGGGTGTTGTGTATGTGGTGTTTGGTGTGTTGTGTGTGTGTGTGTGGTGGTGTGTGTGTTGTGTGTGGTGTGTGGTGTGGTGTGTGTGTGTGTGGGTGGTGTGTGTGTGTGTGTGTGTGGGTGTGTGTGTGATGTTTGTGTGTGGGTTGTGTGGTGTGTGTGTGTTGTGTGTGTGGTGTGTGTGTGGTGTGTGTGGGTGGTGTGTTGTGTGTGTGTGTGTGGGTGTGTGTGTGTGTGTGTGGTGTGTGTGTTTGTGTGTGGTGTGTGTGTGTTGTGTGTGTGTAGTGGGTGTGTGTGTGTGTGTGTGTGTGTGGGTGGTGTGTTGTGTGTGTGTGCTGTGTGTGTGGTGTGTGTGGTGTGTGTGTGTGTGTGGTGGTGGTGTGTGTGTGCTGGGGTGGGTGTGTGTGGTGTGTGTGTGTGTGTGTGTGTGTGTGTGTGTGTGTGTGTGTTGTGTGTGTGGGGTGTGTGTGTGGTGTGGGTGTGTGTGTGGGTGTGGGTTGTGTGTGTGGTGTAGGTGTGTATGTGTGTGGTTGTTGTGGTAGTGTATGTGGTTGTCGTTTGTGGTGGTGTGTGTGTTGTGTGTGGGTGGTGTGTGTTTTGTGTGTGTGGTGTGTGTGTGTTTGTGTGTGGTGTGGTGTGTGTTGTTGTGGGTGCTGTGTGTGTTTGTGGTGGTGTGTGTGTGTGTTTGTGTGGTGGGTGGTGTGTGTGTTTGTGTGTGTGGTGTGTGGTGTGTGTGTGGTTGGTGTGTGTGTGTTTGTGTGTGTGGGTGTGTTTGTGTGTGTGTGGTGTGTGTTGTGTTTGTGTGGGGTGTGTGTGTGTTTGTTGTGTGGGTGGTGTGTGTTGTGTTTGTGTGTGTGGTGGTGTGTGTTGTGTGTGGTGTTGTGTGTGGTGTGGTGTGTGTGTGTTGTGTGTGTGGTGTGGTGTGGTTGTGTGTGTGTGGTGGTGTGTGTGGTGTGTTGTGTGTGGGTGGTGTGTGTGTGTTTGTGTGGCGTGGTGTGGTGGTGTGTGTTGTGTGTGTGTGTGTGGTGTGTGTGTGTGTGTGTTGGGTTGGTGTGTGTGTGTTTGTGTGTGGGTGTGTGTGTTGTTTGTGTGTTGGGTGTGTGTGTGTGTTGGTGTGTGGGTGGGTGTGTGTGTGTTGTGTGTGTGGTGTGGTGTGTGTTTGTGTGTGGGTGTGTGTGTGTGTTTGTGTGTGGGTGGTGTGTTGTGGTTTGTGTGTGGTGGTGTGTGTGTGTTTGTGTGTGTGGGTGGTGTGTGTGGTTGTGTGTGTGTGACGTGTGTGTGTGTGTGTGTTGGTGTGTGGTGTGTGTGTGTGGTGTGTGTGGGTGTGTGTGGTTGTGTGTGTGTGTGGGTGGTGTGTGGTGTGTGTGTGTGGTGTGTGTGTGTGTGGTGTGTGTGGGTGTGTGTGTGTGTGTGTGTGTGGTGTGTGTGTGTGTGTGTGTATGATGTGTGTGTGGTGTGTGTGTGTGTGTGTGTTGTGTTGTGTGTGTGTGTGTGTGTTGTGTTGCTGTGTGTGTGGTGTGTGTGTGTTGGTGGGTGGTTGTGTTGGTTGGTGTGTGTGTAGGCGGCCGTGGGTGGGTGGTTGTGTGTGTGTAGGTGGGTGGGGTTGGGTGGGTGTGTGTGTGTGTTAGGTGGTTGTGTGTGTGTGTGTGGGTTGTGTGGTGTGTGTGTGTGTTTGTGTGTGTGTGTGGTGTGTGTGTGTGGGTGGGTTGGGTGGGGGTGGTGTGTGGATTGGTGCTGGATGTGTAGTGAGGTGGGGTGGCGTTTAGAGAAACGGAGTAGTTGTAGGTGGTGGTGGTGTATGTTGGTGTGTGGGTTTTTATGTTGGTGTGTAGTGTGTGTGGGTGTGGGTGGTTGGTATGGTGTTGTGTGGGTGTGGGGTGTATTTGTGTGTGTGTGGGGTGGTTGTAGTTGTGTGTGGGTTGGGGTGGTTATGTGTGTGTGGGTGTGGTGGTGTATGTGTGTGTGGGTTGGGTGGTGTATGTGTGTGTGGGAGTGGGTGGTGTATGTTGGTGGGTGTGTTGGTGGTGTGTGTGTGGGTGTGGTGGTGTATGTGTGTGGTGGGTGTGGGTGGTGTATTGTGGTGTGGTGTGGTGGTGTATGTGTGGTGTGGGTGTGGTTATGTGTGTGTGGGTGTGGGTGTGTATGTGTGTGGGGTGTGTGTGAGTTTTTTTTATGTGTGTTGGGTGTGGGTGGTGTATTTGGTGTGGGTGTGGGTGGTGTAGTGGGTGTGGGGTGGTGTTGTGTTGTGTGTGTGGTGTGTGTGTGTGGGTGTGGGTGGTGTATGTGTGTGTGGGTTGTGGGTGGTGTATGTGTGTGTGGGTGTGGGTGGTTGTATGTGTGTGTGTGGTGGTGTTGTTGGGTGTGTGGTGGGTGTGTGTGTGTGTGGGTGTGGGGTGTGTAATGTGTGGTGTGGGTGTGGGTGGTGATGTGTGTGTGGTGGGGTGGTGTATGTGTGTGTGGTGGGGTGGTGTATGTGTGTGTGGTGTGGTGGTTATGTGTGTGTTGGTGTGGTGTGTATGTTGTGTGTGGGTGTGGTGGTGTAATGTGTGTGTGGGTGTGGGTGGTGTATGTGTGTGTGGGTGTGGGTGGTGTATGTGTGTGTGGGTGTGGGTTGGTGTATGTGTGTGTGGGTGTGGGTGTGCTGGTGTGTGTGATGGGGGTTATGTGGTGGTTGCTGTGTATGTGTATGTGTGGTGGGTGGGTGGTGTGTATGTGATGTGTGGGTGGTGGGTGTGTGTGTGTGTGGTGTGGGGGTGGTATGTGTGTGTGCGTGTGGGTGGGTGTATGTGTGTGTGGTGTGTGGGTTGTGTGGTGTGGTGGTGTATGTGTGTGTGGGTGTATGTGTGTGTGGGTGTGGGTATGTGTGTGTGTGGGTGTGGGTGGTGGTATGTGTGTGTGTGTGGGTGTGGGGTGTGTATTGTAGTGTGTGTGGTTTGTGGTGTATGTGTGTGTGGTGTGGTGGTGTATGTGTGTGTGGTGTGGGGGTGTATGTGGTGTGGGGTGGGGGGGTGGGTATGTGTGTGTGGGTGTGGGTGTGTATGTGTGTGTGTGTGTGTGTGGTGTGGTGTGTGTGGTGGTGTGTGTGTGTTGTGTGGTGTGCGTGTGTGTGGTGTATGGTGTGCGCGTGCATTTTGCGTGTGTACGCGTATGTGTGTGTGCATGTGCATGTGCATGCGTGTGTATGTGTGTGTGTATCATCTTTCTTTTATTTCCCGTTTCCTCTTCTCTTCTATCATTTCTTTCTTATTATATTATTTCTACTTTTATTTCCTCTCTTTTTTATCATGTTATGTCATCTCTCTTTTTTCCCTTCTCCCTGTCTCCCCTTATGTAGGTGGTGAAAGCTCTTGGATACAACATGCCAGTCCAAGAGTTTTCTTCTCTTCTCCGAGACGACCCTAAGCAGTATTTCTCAAATGCCGACGACTTGCTTGATGCCTTCAGAGTCATGGCGAAGGAGATTGAGCCGAAGATGCTCGGACTCTTTGCTGAGCTCCCAAAGATAGGGCTGAAGTAAGTAAGAGCTGGAGTTTTTAAGAGCTGAGGTAAGGAAGCAGGATGGAAAATAAAGAGCTGTAAAGAAAAAGAAAGAGCTGGTGTAAAGAGAAGAAGAGGAAGAAGATGAAAAGAAGAATCTGAAGAAAGAGCTGAAGTAGACAGAAAAAAACTGAAGTAAGAAAGGAAGAACCAACATAAGGAAACAATCAAGTAGGAAAGCAAGTAAAAGTAAAAGTCATTAATTAATCCATCAAGTAAAAATAAGGAAGAATCAAAGTAAGTATATAAGTAAGAAAGTAAGAGCAAAGGTAAGTAAATCAGCATATAAGAAAGTAGTTAAGTAAGACTATAAGAATTCAAGTAAAGCATGTATGAAAGAGAAGGAAGGGCTTAGTTTCATTTCCTTGTTGATTGGAAAAGTATGTCTTTTACATGACTTTTGGTTGTTTGCTACTGATATTTGGAAGTGTAATGGATTTTCTTTTTCTCTAAAAGATTTTTAGTAAATGGGAGCTGCTCTTCTCCTACCCCCTCCTATGTGCTTGTGTATGTACATTACTGTATCCCTTCATCACCTTCTTTATTTTCTTCACCTTAGGATTGAAGGCGACCAAAATCCAAACAAAATTGGGGCTTTTTACGAGGCAGGCTCATACGACGGAACACGGGGGGGGATCTTCCAAGTTGGCATAAATCACTTAGACACAGTGTAAGTAATTACGACTTTTATGGATAGATTGATTTTGATATATGAATGGGTAGTTATAGAGAGGTGATTAGGCTGATATGTTATTCATGAGATAGATTGGTAAATGAATGGACAGATTATTTGACATATATGCATGTAGATGGGTAAATAAGAGAGAGAATGGTTAATGGTTAAAAAACAAAATAAATGTGCTAGAATCTAAATAAGAGAAAGAAAAAAAAGTAATAAAGTGCTATTCTGTTCTTGATATTTGCTTCTTGCATTGTACATAGGTAAGCTGTACTAGTTATTGTTCTTGACTATATGAGTTTTGTGTGTGTTGATGTATGTATGTGTTGTTATATGTATGTATTGATTTAGATGTTATTGTCTATGAATATGTGTATATTTATGTCTATATCTTTATCTATCTATATATATGTGCATATGCAGTTCTGTTCATCTACTTGTCAGCATGTCTATCTTTACACATACATTTTACTCTTTTTTCTTCTAAAGCATTATCCTTGCACCACTCTTTCTAACTTTCTTTTCTTGATTGGGATCAGAGACAGGACTGGAATATACCAAAGCACCTTAGCTCAGCAAGTTGATTGAAATTGAGCTCCCCAACAGACCAAAGTATGGCATGATGACCCTCTCCCTCCATGAAGGCAACCCAGGGCACCACTATCACCGATCCTATTGCCGCGGTTCAGCTTCCATGCCCTTCTTCAGGCGAGTGATGGAGGACCGTAACTATGGCCAGTCGCCTTCGAGGTTCCCCATGAACACAGCCTATGGGGAGGGCTGGGCTTTGTACGCAGAAGATCTGGGCTTTGATATGGGCCTCTACGACAATCTGTTTGACAGGTGAGTTATGTGGGGGTAGATGGGGGTGGTTGTGTGTGGATGTTTGTGTGTTGTGTTCTGGTGTGTGCTTTTATTTGAGGAAGAAAGTGCTTTACAAGTAATTATGTAAGAGGATGTGAATTTAGATTTATAAATGCTAATAGGGAAATCATCCATTTCCATTTAGTTTTTTTTTTTTCTTAACACACACAAAAAAAGGAAAATGGAGTTTGTTTGATAATCTCACATGAATAAATACAAGACTACCCAGATTTACAAGAAAAACAACAACAAAGAAACATCCTGCCTCTAGTTTTGTTATTTCATAGCTTCTTTCTTTTCCAACAAGGTATGGTCACTACTCAGCCGAGATATTCCGTGCAAGTCGTTTAGTGGTGGACACTGGCTTACATGCATTAGGGTGGACAAGAGAGAAGGCTATTGACTACATGTTCTGCCACACTGCAATGACAAAGACACAGATCGAGGTATGAATAAGGCTGGATATGAATAAGGCAAAGTGAAATGTTGAGCCGTGGTACTAGATCTTGTAGGTTTGTGCCTAACCAGTGATATTAGGGTAACGTGTATACCTACACCGTCCACCATGGTTTTGCTTTGTTATATCTATGTATGTTTTTCTTCTCTTTTTTAAATATTATTTATTTATTTGTTTATACTTACATGATGCACAAGCAGCTCCATTGGAACATGATCACTATGATTATTAAACCCTCCCGTTTACCCTATTTCTGAAGTTTTTTCCAGATGCTTTTATTTTATGATAATTATTTTCATTAACATGATACTTGTAATAATAATGATAATGATGATGATAATAATTATGATAATGATAGATTGTGATAGTGATAGTGATGATGATGATGATAGAATGAAAATTAGGTATGCTTAGTAATCCTTAATGATCAAGCCATGGTAGAGCCATCTGTTGAAAAAAAAGTAAAGATGAATAAATAAATAAAACAAAACAAAAAAGCATAGTTGCTACTCCACATTCCTACTATTAATGGGTTAACAAGGTAAAGAAAATAACAACAACAAAAAAATAAGAAAAGAAAAAGTTGTTACAAGACTGAACTCCTCTGTACATCAGTGTGTAAACTGATGCTTTTGACTCCTGTATCCAAAAAACCCTATCCCCTATCACCTATGTCTTCTCTATCCTTACTCTCTCTTCCCTCTCCTATAAAAAAAAAAAAAAAAAAAAAAAGTAAGAAAAAAAAAAAAAAAAAAGAGAGCAAAAGAAAAAAATAATCAAGCATTCCCTTAACCATTTCCAGAAAGAGGTTGACCGATACATCACATGGCCAGGTCAGGCTTTAGCATACAAGATGGGCCAGCTGAAGATCTCACAGCTGAGAGACAAAGCCCAAAAGGAACTCGGCAACAAATTCTGCATCAAGACCTTCCACATCATTGTTATGGAGTCGACTGGGCCTCTAAGCCTATTGGAAGAGGAAATCAACAAGTGGATAGCAGGCGAAACCCATTATGCAAAGGGCAGCTAGACTTGTTTTCGGATGTGTATAAACTTTTAGGGTACCTTTATTTTTCACTAATATACAACAGAAAAACAAGTTATGTATAAGTTCAACAAACACCAAGAGATAAGAGCTCATATGAATGAATTGTGTGTCTGGCCCTTTGGAACCCTGCAGTCACTTTGCTAAATTGCAATAAACATGTTTCTAGACAAAAACTGTATTTTCTGTAGTTTAAGTACATTTTTTAGGATTGAACAAACAGTCATTGGTGGTATATTCATCACACAAGTAATATTAGCAACATTTACCATTTCTACTCAACCTTTTGACACAAAGCTCTGGGTATCAACCATGACTTAAAATCATAAAGTTGTAGTCTAATATCAGTCAGAAAAATGAGAGTTGGTGAAGCAGTGGCACCAACACTTTCTTTCTTGCCTTCTTAATAATGGTTTAATATTTAATGTCTGAAACAGCTAAATGTGCTAGACATCAAAGGTCATATAGCACTATGCCTTCTTAAGAATTTATGGCTTCCTTCCATAAAACTTGAGCAGGATAATGATGACAAATAAAGGGAATCTGCAGGTGTATGGAGTCTGGGGTGCTACAATGTCAGTCAGGCATGCTTGTTTGTGTTGCAAGGGTACATGCAAAGGTTTGAGTTTACCCAAAATCATGTTTTTAAGTATTGAGATCTATTGTGTTTCTAAACATTGTAAAGGGAGCATATTATTTTCTTTTTGGAAAGGTTTCTATGGTGCCAGCTTTTACATGAAAATGTCTATTTGGAGTAAAGTGTGAAATATTTTAATGGCTTTGTTTCTTTGGAACAGATTTTATTGTCAAAAAAAAAAAAAAAAAAAAAAAAAAGGTATAACAATGAACTAATATAAAGTTATAATACACATTTAAAATGAATCTTCATGAGAATTACATATGTATTTCTTATGAGGATTGCAAAAATAAATAAAAGCTAAATCTGTTAAATGTGTTATGAAGTTACTTTTTTCTGCAATTGCTTGTTTCCTTCTTTAGGCCCTAGGGGGGGATATTCCTGTTATAGACTGCAGTTCAATGGACAATCTGCAAATTATTGTTAAAGACGGTAGCCTTGTTTAATTGTTGTTTGTTTTTTGTGTGTATTATACCGCACAAACTTTTCAACTCAAAAAGTTGTATGAATATGATTAGAGATTGTGGATTATATAAATATGAAAAATAATTTAATATAGCCTTTGAACTTCTAAACTTTATCGTATACTACACACATTCCCACACACCTATATATACAGTTTTAAAGTTCTCTTTTTCTAACATTCAAACATATGCTCTCTCATAATCGTACTCAATCTTACAAAATGCACCTGCAGTCTTTCTTTCATTCTCTCTGGCACTCACTTTCTCACTCATTGTCCCTATGTTTACACTTGAAGAAAACTTGTAAAAAGTAAGTCAAAGAAGAAATAAAATACAATGGAGAGTAAATGTTTTGATCTGCAAATAACGAAGGAAAAGAAAATAACTTTCAAATTACAGTGTCCATGTGTTTTTGACCAGGTGACAAATTTTAATATAAAGGGAAACAAAGTTTATGTAAATGAATATACAAGCATACTGGATTTGGCTATGATCAATGCATAACAATACTTCTCAATAAACAGTGACAAAATGGAAAGGCAATGCATGCAAATCACATTTGTTATGACTGGGTTTATCTGCCGTTTAGACTGTTCTCATGGAAGAAGTATGTTTTGATACTTTTGTTTACCAAACATTTTGAGACAGATCATTATGAGATTCTAATTTATTTCAAGGTGAAGTCAACATTTTGACTAGCAAATTAATTGGTAAATTTTGGTCACTGTTCAGGTTTCATATAAAAAGTTAGCAGACTTTATCATCTTTTCTTTTGTACAGGCCTGTCTGCAAAAGCAAACATCAGCACTCACAAGGTGGGCATCAGTAAAAATGGCGTCCGAGTCTTTGTAAAAAAAAAAGTAGATTTCCCAGTGGTTGCTTCCCTGTCATGTCACCCTTACAGGCACCAGCCATTGCGCATGCTGATTATACTGCTTGAGTGGACAGGCTGGACAAGCCTTTGGTCTTGAATATGACTGCTTCCCCTGGGATTTAGTATATTTAAGTCAACTATTGTATATGTAGATCTTCTTTCTAATAAACATGAACTAATTCCACTTTATAATTCTTTGAAATGTAATTAAAATGAGATTAAATCAATTTTGCCTCCACACTGAAACAAGGCAGGTTCAAAACATTCGTACTTTTTTTTGTATTTTTTTTTATCTAGAGCATTTTACTAATAAAATCTTCTTGAATTTGCTTCCTAAGCCTTGAGGAGTATGACTTTCTGCTCAGTACTTTTCTATGTTTCTTCATGCTTTCACATTAGTATTCTTTGCAGGGTTAAAAGAAGAGGAGATGCAACCTAGTTAAAAATTCCCAAATTTATATTCAACAACTATACCTCTGTTTTCCAAGTCAGAGTATTGTTTCAATCAGTGTTTTCTGATTAGGTCTTAGGTTTAGTACTTTTGCCCATGATACAAAGTAAAAAAAAAAAAAAGAAAAAGAAAAAAAAAAAGTTAAATCATGATAAAGGGGAAAAAATTCACTCAATACTAAATAAACAAAAGAAAAAAGAAATGAGTCTTCTGGTTAAGATTACACTTACTTAAACTAAAGTCTACAGGCATTTTCAGGCCAAAAATATTTATTGGTTACATTATAAAGTAGCACAAGAACACATTAACCTATCTCTTAACCCCATTATATCTGAACACATGTAGAAAATAATTCAGGGTCAGAAAGCAAATAATGAGCTCCCCCATTATATGTCAGGAACGTCATTTGTGTGAAGGTTAAGAGGATGAAGATCAGATTCCCTTTGAGTGCGGGTGGTTGCTGGCTGCGACAGCTCTTGCAAACCCTCTTACTGTTTAAGTTCAGACATGTAGAAGAGATGACTGAATCCAATTCAAGTATATAAAGGAAGGGGGAAAATAATGGTAACCAATATAAAATTTTTGCCAAGTTGTCATCTACTGTTCAGAGCTTTTGATGTCCTTAATGAAGCCATGTCAAAAACTAAAGGCTTATTTCTTTTATGTGATAGTTGCTCCCAATATATAACTCCTATTGGTCACCTTTGCAAGATGAAAAAAAAAGAAAATGCTATATATTTATGTAAGAAAATTCCAGCTCCTTTCATGTTCTCTCTTCAAATCCCTTACTCTATATTCATAAATATTGTTTAGTTTCATACAATAGGCTTTCTACTGCAATTCATTAATAGAAATGCAAAATACTGGACAGATCTTAACTTATCAGATGAGTGACTCCTTTATTTGAAGGAAAAGAAACCTCCCATTTGCTTCCTTCTCCTCTTCTGTAACTTCCCATACTCCCATTGAATATTTTAGAAGAGGAATAAAAATATATGTAACAACAAACAAGAATGTTTTTAAATGTAAATATCAACTTAGTAATCTTAGAATAATCTTAGGAAACTGTAAAAGAAAGAAAGAAAAAAAATGGAATGTATTGAATTGTGCACTGCCTTGTATTCAACAGTAAATAAATAACTTAAAATACAAAGATTACAACACATTTAAATCTAAATAATATAGTACAGGCCTGGAGTTAGCAACCTTGATGAGTTGGGCCTAAATACATTGTCTGAGCTATTGGTGGGCTACTTCTACCATTACCAAGAATACTTGGAAATATCAATAATAAATTACAATGAGGTAATAACAATAATTCTTCACAATAAATTTATGTCAAAAGAATAAAAACAGCAATAAATGTGAAACTTCATGTTTTTTAACATTGAAAGTCTCTTAAGATTTATTGACAAGATAAGAGAACATTGGGCCCGATGAATTTGAGAAGCATCCGGCTCATGGGATATAGGTTGCTGACCCCTGATGAAGCCTATCTGAAGCTCTTGTGAATCATCTTTGGTTCGACATCTCAACAATGATTTGAATTGGTAACCTTTTCTCCTTATCTTTCGATTTCAACAGCATTTTCAAAGTGTTGGTACATACTTTATGTCCATTGCTAAAACGATGTATTCAAAATACTTAATACTTAAGAAGCTATATTTACATAAAGAGACCAGTGTCTCGTTAGAATTACAGTATACTGCCAGATTTCAATATTATGAGCTTTTTTGATACCATCTTACAAACTGCTCTTACCTCTTCAGTTCTTGAAACTTTAAAATCTTTTACTTTACAAGATATTCCAATAAAATTACACTTTTGGAAATAACATTATTGAACTTTGTTTTTTTTAAGCATATAAAATACATCAGTATATACAATGGTGATAATGTATAATTGTCTATGCATGTTTCATGCATCTTTTGGTTTGTGTAAACAACTTTTCTTTCAAAATAAATATTTCCTTGATTTAAAATAGGTATAAAATTACTGGTGACTATCATGCACATTAGATATGCCTGTATTGTAATAATATATATTTCAATCAATCACTAATCTTGATATATAAGAATGATGACTCATCAGTAAAAAAAATTACCACATATTTGATATACAGGATTCACAATGCATATCTTCTTTGATAAGTGTGGTTTGGGGAAAAACCAAATCCAAAAAATAATAATGATCATAATAAATAAATAAATGTGTGTGAAATACAGATAAGCAAATCAAGGAACCAAGGCACATTTACATATAGACAGATA